TTTATCACCTTTATCATCGAGGTCGTCGTCCCGCACAGGCCACCCCGTCGTGGCTCCTCTTTGTCTCTCACTCTCAAAGGAACAAAAAATAAATAAATAAATAAATAAAAAGCGAGGCATTTCTTCTAGAGTATCAGATGCAAATGCAATAGAGAGAGAGTTATGCTATTGTGATGAGAAATTACGACTAGTTGGGCTTTTTTTGCCTCTGTTTACATGAGGTGTTGCTGCCATCAAGGAATAGTTAGGTGGCTGGGTTTTCTCTTTGTCTACTAACTTAAATTAAATAGGGGTAAAGGAGGAAATTTAAGTGAAAAAAATTAAGGTGTGGGGTGCCTTCATAAGATTGTTGGGTGTTAATAGTGAAACACCTGACCCCGATATTTCCCAAATACCAGGTTAAACACGTGCTAGCTGACACTCGAAGGTGACGAAGTCATGTTAGGATGCATGAGAAATAATATTTTCAGCTGGTCTTAACATACTTCCTCTAACTAAGATTTTCTAAATCGCGTCACTTCAATGTAGACACTGACTCTACCTGCAACAACTAGGGAATGCACATTGAAAGTATCGGTTTGATGTTGAAAGTCGTCCATCAATCCATTTCGTCACCGATGAGGCACAATCCTAACACGAATTTTCTTCTTCTTCAATAAGATGTGATTATTCATGAAGTATGAGGGTTGCACAACTGTGTCGAAAGACAACAAATCCGAAAGTCGTGACATCCAAATGATGTCATGACCGACACACTACTACAGTGATAGAAGATCCTAAGTATGCTTTGAACAAATTAGGCTCTGGTACCAAATTGACACGCCGGACCCTGATATTCCTTGAACACCAAATAAAACCCACAAGGACAACAAATTAAAATAAGTACCCCAACTAAAGTGAAATTACGAAAATGACATTCCGTTCCGTAAATTCCGGGATGAGTTGTTACAAATAGAATTATCCTTCGTGCAATCAATTTTTTATTTTTCTATAAAAAAAAATTGATAAAATGTTGGGACATTAAATATAGGGTGGTGCTATTTATACATCTCTTTTGACCTTTCACACTTTTTTTTTTTTTTTAATTTTTATCGTTTAATCATCTTCAATTATTAGATCCGACAGCGAGTGATGTGTGTGAATCTGATGGATAAAAAGGGTATGTAGATTTAACGTACTATTAGGTCGACCAAATTTTGTAAATCAAATGATATAATTATTGATGATTAAATTATTAATTAAATATTAATTCACATAATTATTTCTTATTCATTTAATTTAAAATTCATGCGTAGTATTTTCTGTAGATTTAGGGAGTGTATTTAATTAAGAATTTGAGAGACTTTAATGGATTTATAAATCCATTAATTGATTTGAAGAGATTTATAAAATTTTGATTTAATTCTCTCGAAATCTCATGGGAAGATGTGAGATTGTGAATGCTTAAAATACACTACAAAATCTCTTCAATTCCCTCTATTTCCTCAACTCTGTCAAATTCTTTAAAATCAATTTCTAATTAAATACACCTGGAATGTTATAAACTTCTTTAAAATTCTAAATGAATACATCCGGATTTCTAAGGATTTTAATAAACTATTTTAAAACTCTAATTGAATATACCTTGAATTTCAGAAAATAACTTAAAATTATGATTAAATATCCTTAGATTCATTAAAAAAATTAAAATCATTCAAAATCCTAATTGAATACACGTGCTTTTAATTTAATATATAAAAGCCTAGGTCAATGGTGCAAGCACCGACAAATTAGAAGTAACGTGCCTGCCACTATTGGCCAGCTGTCCGATTGCACAAAATCTCACACAATACCGGCTACACTGTATCCCATCCCGCGGCTGCTTCTTCTTCTTCGCCCCAAAAACCTTAAACTTCAACTTGACAGTCCAAAGTTCGACACCAGTCACTGGAAGAACACTTCTACGACCCGACCCACGCACATCGATCCAAATAGACCCAGATCAGAATACCATTTCCTCGAAGCCAACCCTGATCCGGGTCACCGCAGTACCCAGATGAAGTTTTTCAGAAAATGAAGAGGTTCAAGCAAAACCTTGAAGCTGATGATTTGTCGAAGCATTTGGATTTGGATACCCGTAGTGCTCTGAGGGAGCCGGATAGGAAATCTGCGTCGGGTTCGATGAAGGTGATGGGGATCTTTGTGGCTGCCTTGATTCTGTTTTCGGTGTTGTTCTCAGTGAATGTGGTTCTCAGAGACCCGCCTTCGGATGCTGTTTTCGAAACTTCAAAAGCTGCAGTTCTTGAAGTGGAACCCAGAAAAGGTAACAGATTTGAGAATTTTAATATTATCTAGTGGGTTTTGGTTAACTTTGGCTTATGGGTTTTACTGCGAAGTAATTCTGCTGTTTCACTGTGATTTTTGCACCAAGTTTTTGTCTTTGTTTCGACTGGATTTGAGATTTCGTTTATTGGATCGTATGCTGAAAGAAGAGCTATCAGATTGACATTTCTAAAGTTTTTGGTTCAGCTGCATTGCTGTTCTCGTTTGGAAATGCTTCTTTAAAAAGCACTTTTATAATCTATTAGAAACACATCATAACTTTTCATAACAATGCGTGCGCTTCCTGAATCTTGAAAAAGAACTTGTAACTTTTCCTGCCGAACATGGTCAAAAGCGATTTTGGTGATCAGAAAGCGAATTCGGTTATTTTAAAGGAACTTACAAACAGACCCATATATTCTGGTAGTTTGGGGAGCAAGGTGAACTTGGAACTACTTGATCTGATATGCTGAACAATTTTACTAGTTCGAGTTGGGCTAAAGTTTTGTCCTTTTTCAACTGCTTGGCATTTTGTTGTCCTAGTGCCTCCAGCTTGGATCAAGTCCTGCGCTTCATCAGCTTCATTGGCTGGTTTTCTCTAGTCTCTTCTTTATGAAGTCTCGCGCTGTTTTATTTTTTGTTTTCGGGACATTATATTAGTGTTCTCATGGCTGATTTGCTCTATTCAGATCTTTGAATTATCCAAGTTGGTGAAAGCCGACTTAGCGCGCTTAATTACGACCAACTGCTATTTCCCATTTTCAACTAGGTTGTTTAGTTGTCTGTTTGTTTCCATTTCCGACTATTTTGTTTATAACCAAATATTCTTTTTATGTGTGTTACCACATTTCTTTGTTTTTGATCTCTTGTGTTCCAATTATTTTCTTTTGCTTTCAAGTATCCTATTCATGTAAAGATCCTGGTCTGACTACTTGTGAGTTATATGATGCGACCATGATGGTGATAAAGCTCTCCGTATGTTGTTCAAATATTCATAGGTTCTAAGAATTGTATCGTTCCTTTTTCCTTTTGCCATCCGTAGGTTTAGAAGATCAGTTTTCTCAGTCTATTGAGGTGCCAGAGGATAAATTGCTTGGAGGCCTTCTCGCTGATGGATTTGATGAAGGATATTGTGTCAGCAGGTACCAGTCAGCTTCATATCGTAAAGAACGGCCTTACAGACCTTCTTCTTACCTTATATCCAAGTTACGAAGCTATGAAGCTCTGCATAAACGTTGTGGACCTTACACCAAGGCCTATAACAAAACCCTGGAACAACTCAAGTCTGGCCATGGCACAAACTCCTTGGATTGTAACTATGTGGTATGGATTTCCTTTAGTGGATTAGGGAATAGGATACTGACCCTAGCTTCAGCGTTTCTTTACGCTCTCCTGACAAACCGGGTTCTACTAGTGGACCCTGGAGTTGACATGGTTGACCTCTTCTGTGAACCGTTTCCAGAAGTCTCATGGTTTCTTCCCACGGATTTCCCCCTTAAGGATCAGTTCAACAGCTTGGATCAGAAATCTCCTCACTGTTATGGGAAGATGCTGAAGACTAGTAACTTTACAAATTCAGATGATTCGGTGAGGCCATCTTTTGTGTATCTCCATCTAGCTCATGATTACGATGATCAAGATAAACTTTTCTTCTGCAGTCAAGATCAGGCTTTCCTTGAAAGGATACCGTGGTTGATCATGAAAACAGATAACTATTTTGTCCCGTCTCTTTTCTTGATCCCATCTTTCGAGCAGGAACTACATAAACTATTCCCAAGGAAGGAAACCACTTTCCATTTTTTGGGTCGATACCTGTTCCACCCCACAAATGTCGTATGGGGATTGATTACTAGATACTATCAAGCTTATTTAGCAAAAGCAGATGAAAGAATAGGCATCCAGATCAGAGTCTTTGATACTGGGATTGGCCCCTTTGAACACGTGTTTGATCAGATCCTATCCTGTGCATTGAAGGAGAAGCTGCTACCTGAACTCAACCGGCAGGATTTCATCGTCAGTCCATCAGGAACCCCAAAGTCTAAGGCTGTGCTGATGACATCTTTAAGCTCTGGTTACTCTGAGAAGCTAAGAGACATGTACTGGGAGCATCCTACTGTGACAGGGGAGGTGGTTGGCATTTTCCAGCCGAGTCATGAGGAGTATCAACAAACTGAGAAGCATACGCACAACCGCAAGGCATGGGCCGAAATGTATCTGCTAAGCTTGACAGATGCGTTGGTCACAAGCTCATGGTCAACATTTGGGTATGTCGCGCAGAGTCTTGGGGGGCTGACACCGTGGATACTCTACAAACCGGAGAACAGAACAGCACCCAATCCTCCTTGTCGACAAGCAATGTCAATGGAGCCTTGCTTCCACGCACCTCCCTTCTACGATTGCAAGGCCAAGACAGGAATCGACACAGGTACATTGGTTCCTCATGTGAGGCACTGTGAGGATATGAGCTGGGGTCTTAAGTTGGTCGATCGTTACGATGAGTTCTAGGGTTGTAGCTTGTGTTATTTGTCTGTTGTTGTAACTGTTTGATCATGAATAACATTGAATTTTTCAGGTAAACGAATGTTATTCCATGTAAGCAAAAATGGTTGAGTTTAATGGAAGAGTGAAATATGTTCGACTCTCATGGACGATGAGTTCAATGTCTAATATAGCAGTCATGGGTTATCGAGGCAAATACGTAAAACAGTAGTCTATTAAAAGATAATTGCACGCTTTAGTTGAAATACACACAGAAATTTGGATTCTGCTTTACAAAAAAGCAAACTTTTTTCTCAAAATTAGTTGCGAAATTCGATGACAAGGCTTCCCATCTTCAGTTTGATGATCTCTCGGACATTTTCATGCCTTCAACGAATGTGTTTGCACCTGATCTCTGCAGCATCAGCAGGGATTTGGTTTCTACTTCAAAACCTTCGGAAAGCTGGCAGCATCTCCACTACTCGGAATCGGAACCTGACAGTAGCATTTCATGAGAATCTCTTGGTTCCATATCGGTGATGGAAGGGGGTTGGTCTTCATTAAGCACGTTTCTAGCCCGGTCTCTCTCCTTCGTCTACTTTCGTCCTGTAAGATGGAGATTAGACATGTCATCGGGATGATCAAGACGGGGGAGGAAAAGATGAAAAAACATGAGTTGGAAGTGTACTAAAGTACTAAGTTGGTCTTTTATTTTCTTGCTCTCAATGTTCGCCGTGGAATTTGGCTGGTTTGGTTAACTTGTCACTAGAGTTGCTTGACTCCTCCGAAGCCAGATGGTACCGAAAGACATCAATGCTGCTAGAAGCAACATTGGACCAACCCTTGGATCTCCAATGCGATCATAGATTCCGCGTAAAATTCCACGGATGCTCTGCATGATCGTGTTTGTTGAAGGAATTCTTTGGACACCAGCTGACCACATTGGCTCTGAACCCTCGGGAACCAAATGAGGAGTTCTTGTTCTCTGCAATGGAAACAAAAATTGAAATTTAAAGCAAAGCTCTTGACAAAAGAGTAGTTCATGAAACTGCTCGTATGAGACGGCCAAGTACATTTACATAATGAGGAAGATCTCAGGAGTCGCCATCGTAGATTGTTTCTGAGATCCATTTAATAATCTGCATAAGAAAGGTAAAAACGAAGCCACCAACTTAGAGAAAATTTGTATTATGTGACATCTGAGGCATCGATTGTAAGTGCGACATCAAGAATCCAAACATAGGATTAGATACCTCCCGAGTATCATCTGAACCGTTGTACTTTGCCACAAGCTGCGATGCAGGATCTAGTTCCTGGTCTTGCAGTGCATCCCATAAGGTTTTCGGCTTTTTCTCGGGCTTCTCACTCTCCTGTCACATTCCTCTTATAGTGTACAATAAATAACTGAGGAACATCAATCATATCTGTCCTTTCTCCACAAGTTTGCAAAATTTCTGAACAAAAATTAAATCATTAGTCAGACATAAGTTTCAAGACCGCACTTAATGAACTAACAGTTAAAAACACAAACAACACATGAAGGTTTGCCTTTTGGGCTTCTCCGTCAAGCCAAGCAAATGTCAGTCGTTTGCTTTTAAGGGCACCTGCTGCTGGTGCTATAGATTGCTCTTCATCAGCTGACCTTGTCTCGACTTCATCAAGAGAGAGTTTCCGCCCAAAGAACTCATAGTCAAATTTACGATTGCTTAGTATTTCTGCAGCCCCATAATCCTGGCACCATTTGGCACAACAGATGCAATGCCCAGGAATAAAACATGCAGTATTATATGTAATGAATATCCCTTGAGTTTCAAGATCTTATTTCTAAAACCTACCATGCCCCTAATTTCATCTATCACCAGCCATTTGTTTATCAAAATATGCATATTTTCGAGCAGTTTCAGTTAAAATTCACAAATTCCAAGACCTCCAATTAAGTAAGAACGGAAACTTTGGCAAATAACAGCATGCAATATTGATCATTTATCAAACCACTTACCATTCCTGAAGAAAGGTTGCCCAGTTGGTTTTCTCTCAGCAAAATGTGTAGCTAGCTGAAGCTCTCCAAGTTCCAACATACCAGTATTTGCCACACCATCCAAATAAGCAGCTAGAGGGTAACAAAACAAAAAGATCATATTCTCAAACAAAAATTATCATACATAAAAATAATATCTGAGTCAAATATTGGAATCTAAAGAGGGAAACATAAAAAAGAAGGGAAAAAATGGGTTGTAAACTTGTGACTATTATAATGCAGGGAACAATTTTCCCAGTCAAACTGAATGGTTAAGGAACTTAAGTAGACAAAACCAACTAATCAATTGATAAAAGAAGGTCTCCACTCTGTTGAGTGCATGGATTGGCCACTAAACATGAATTCACCCTTCAAGAAACCATTTCAAATACAGGTAAAGAATCTTAAACCAGGTTCTCCAAACTGAAAACGTACCAATTTACTTCCACACATCGGAAAATTGATCGCAGCTTTTTCTTCCAAATGAACACAACTGGTCCAAAATCCAACAAGCATGGAGTCAGTATACTTTTAAAAGGAAAAGCAAGAAGTTTTATTGATGACAAAATATGACAAGAAAATATAAGGCTATCCATGACAGAACATGTATGCACATTCTAGTTATGTGTTGACTAGATCTTTATATCAAACTATGTTAGTCTGTTGTGTTACGCATATCCCTCGTTAATTTAAAGTGAAAATCTAATGGAAGGGGATGGAAACCAAAGAGAAGATATAAGCATATGCCGGATATAATTGCCATGCCATGCAAGGCGTCGTTAATAACATGGCTTTACCTGAATCAGCCTTGGTTTGTTACCCTCGAACATAGTCTGAAAATCCTTGGAGGTCATGACTGTACCATCATGGTCTTCAGTTTCTAATAAAAAGAAAATATTATCCTTTAACAAATGTTATAAGAACCAAAAAAAAAAAAAAATTAAACATGATTAAGAAGTTCAGTTCCAACCAGAAGCAACAGACTCTAGCAAAGGAAGGTCTATCTTCGAAAAGCTTCTCCTTTATATCGCACTGTGACCTTCTGAACTATATCCTAAGGTCAGAAAAGGGAAATTAATAAGACATCAGAGCATGTGGCGGAGGTTAGCGAAAACAGAACATGTATGGAACTGCAAGCTAGACACGTAAGACGTTTGCAAGGCTTGGAATGGGAGTAAGAACTCACTATTTGCTCATCGATGCCAAATATGTCATAGTTTCTTTTTCCACACAGGATTTGTCAGCAACTCATAAGCATACTCAATAAGCACTTACATCCCAACGCCATACTTAGATCAATAGTATCAACGAAATACTGACTATGAAAGTTACACATTCTAAAAGCATTGACACACAAGTTATCATACTACTTATATTCGAAAATAGTGAACAAAAAACACATGCTTTGAAAAGAAAACAAAATGTGCTTTTCCGTGCCATCAGTTCCTTATAATTGTATTCTATATACACAACGACCATTTTCGCCTAATGTATTCAAAATGTTGGTAATAAAAACTGCCCAATTCAATCTATTTCCTCTCATTTCTTTGGTAAAGCCGTATAATGTTATCATCTGATCGCATATTTGATAAATCAGGCTACATTAAGTTTTCCATCTACGTGGAACAATAAAACTCCGTCCCACGGAGAAACCACAGAATTCGCTGACCTTGATAAAATAGGAAGTATCCAAAGCCTGCCCGTCTGAACTCCTGAAAAAAGCATGAAAATTTGAAGCATTAGAGTGTGCTTTTTAAAACTTTGACACACACAGCCTTCTTCTTCTTCCGGAAACTATCAAAAGATTCAAAACTAACCAAATTGCGCAATTCCAATCATTAAAACGACATACCAGACTGAAGAAATATTGTCGTACGCCTCTTTTCACTTCTTCAATGGAGCTATAGCTCCTTCTACCAAGAACTGCAACAATTCAGTCAGTCAACAAAGCAACAGTTCAAAATCCACATTCATACATATATGTATGTATATACAGAGTGAGAGAGAGAGAGAAAGAGAGAGAGAGAGAGAGAGAGAGAGAAGTACTGTCGTAGTGAGAGGGAGGAAAGGATTTGGGAACAACGAAGAGCTGGAAGAACATGGCGGCAACGAAGAGAATCAGAGGCAAGGAGTAGGCTTTGATCACAGACCGTCGACGATCCTCTCGTGGCGTCCGAAGACGCAGGTTTTGCCATGGTGCTCAACCGGACCGGATAATTTCTCGTCCGCGTTGCAGAGAAGAGAGTGACGACGAGACTGCCGTCTGCGAGAATATTTTGGCGCTATCAAAACGCGCGCGTATTGGTGAAGAGCGATCGGGTTTAGGAAACTTGACACGTGTGCGTTTGGAACGTTTGTAATAGGAATTGGGTTCCCTCCGGACCTTGGTGTCAAAGCCTAAGGATCAACGAATCTAGGCAGCACAAATTGAATTCAACGTTCTCCATTAACTCATTTTTCTGGCCCACTACACACAAACCAACAATACTGATTTCTTTTACACATTAATCAGCAGTCCAGATGAATTCATTTTTAGGTTCCGAACACCAAGGTCTGAAGTGGATCCAATTCCTTTGTAATACATTTTGGGCTGGCATATGTATGTTCTTTTCTCAGTTGGACCTTTATTAGTTACGGCTTGTTGGGAATTGCTGAAATTTTTTTAAGAACAGATTTTTTTTTAAATTGCACTATTTTTTTTTTTTTTGGGAAATACAAAAGAAGTTTTTCTTATTTAATTTTTTTTCTAATTTATGAATTATGGGTTCAAAATAGCAGAAAGCAAAAAAAACTCTACCCATGCTTCACAAAAGAGCCTTTTTTACATACGAGACGGATGAACAATATCATTTGATGAAACTTTCATATTAACAATAATACCCCGTTTAATGTTGCATCGTTCATAACTATAATGCAGTTACAACTCTTAGTCTCTCTCATCGACAAAACTATAATCCTAATATCCTAACCCGAAATCTTTCGCCTTTCTCCATATCTGTCAATGGCCAAAGTATTACTAGGTAACGTGCCTTTCCTTGCTGATTGTGAACACTTATTTTGTTCACTGCTTGGTTAAGTATAAGTTGCATATTTGAAATGTTTTTCCAACCTTTAATTATCTTGTGCAAGTTATGTTTGGATATATGTTACAGTCATAGATTTTTATATCTATCAAGCATGAGGAAAAACTTTATGTATCTCAAAAGATTAAAGAGTCGGCAATTTACTAATTAACTAATTAATTTATGTATCTCAAAAAATTAACTAATTAATTTTACACATCACAAATGGCAATAGGCCGACACAACTTTTGGATACTGGCCTATGGTATCATATTTTTGGTGTGGAACCCTACGTACGGCAATTTACATGAAGATATATAACGTACGTACCTTATTAATGTGGAGGCTTTAATGTTGAAGCTTATGAAGGCCAAGGCAAAACTTAACTAAACAAATAAAGCAGTTCACCATCTTTGTGCATGCATGGGGGACATATATACAAATGTTGAATAAATAATCAACGACGTACTCAGCTCAAATGTATGCATGCATGGCATAAGTCATAGCTAGCATGGTCCATATGTATCTGGGACGAAAGACAACATTAATGCTTGAAAATATCCACAAATGTGATTTGATATGTCGATCGAAATCCCACGAGCAATATTCTATAAAGATATATGATTTCAGTTCAGCTATTTTGCATAGCCTAAATTTGTTTGTGAATTCTAGTATATATAGGCCAATTCATATATAGCTAACGGTCTACAAATACATATAGATGATATGACCAAGTTTTGTCACATCGCCATATTAATGTGCTGGGGTTGCCTTTGCTTGGCTTCTACGATAGACAAATGGATAGCATGTATTTTTGAAATTTCACGGTTGGATGTGCTGGCTTAAGATTATAATGAAACTTCACAGATGTTTGAACCACTTAAAAAATATTATATTGCAGACATCGAAATTTTGGTGAAATAAATGTTTATCAATAAATTAAATTTTGATTCACTACGGCTTATGTTGTGCACACCTTAGGTCTTGCCAAATGGCACGCATTGCATGTGACTCATCAAAGGCGAACGAGTCATCAAGAGTGACATATGTCGACATTTGAGACCTCTGTCAAACAAATCAAATCAAGTAAAAAAAAAAGAGTTAATTAACCCTACTTGATCAAATCCCTCAATTATGGTTTAATTCCCTAAGCTACTAATTCTGATTTTAATGACTAAAGTAAATGAATTAGTCTAAATTAAAGATGCTGGTTTAATTAAGAGCTAAATTAAATAATTAGCTCAATGTAAGTCAAATCAGAAAATCAATCCCGCAAATTATGGGATTCAGATTGGGGATTCTAAACTAACACTTAATTGCTTGCCTATAAACATTGGGCTCATTTTCAAGAAAGAGGAGATGGGAGAGAAGCAAAGGAAGTTCAAGCCTTTGGAGAAACCATAAAGCTTTTTGGCTAAACTAAACACCGGTGTTCTTCATCAAGCTAGTGAAGAATCAACAAACACAACAAATACATGTGCGAATTCAACCACACTAAAATCGAAGATGGTCCCGTTTCGTTCAAAATTAAGCCCTGACGGCCCTTGAAGAAACCTCAAGTCCAATTCAAGATCAAGTGTGCATCACCCTTGAATCAACACAAATACTGGAGATCGAATCAGAAGAATATTCTTGTAAAAGAATACCCATTGAGATTGTAACCCTAATTTCATTATGTTATTCTGATATTCGTTGCAGAAATTTTTCGTGTTACGTATATATTATATGTTGATGTACAATACAACTCTAGCTTCTAAACGAAGATAAGAAAATAATTATGGAATTCATAAATTTTTTGAAAAAATCAAGGGAATGTTTGAAAATGCTTGTAACAAAAGCCAAAAGAACTAACGAAAAGCATAATATAGCACTGTTTGCCCATAAATAGTCCAAAATTCTTATTTTCAGAGAAGCATCCAAACAAAGTATTTTGTTATATATTTCTTTTCATGTTCCTTTTCCATTCCCCTTTTTTTTCTTGGCAGTAAGAGGCTGGTCAATAATATTAGTTAAACTAGAGTAGAAGAGACACATCAATTATAAAAGTGGTGATCAATATTATTACATCATTAATTGGATGACCTACGAATCCTCTAAAAAGTACTTATAATATTACTTCTTAAACCCTAATAAAACCATCGCTTACCTTAGCAGCTAGTTTTTATTATTTCATGCAGATGGTACTGCGCGTGGAGAATTATTCCATCAGAAGTTCCGTCAAGTTTGTTAATTAACCTCTCCTCTGATGAGAAAACTACATCGTAGAATTTGATACTGCGTGACAAGCTGAGTGACAAGTCCCCGTCAAGTTATAATCTGACTAGTGTTCGTTCACGTCATAAAGTCCACCATTGATTGTTACATTAATTTTCCTAAACTAGTCCAAGCATCTTCGGATTCAAAACCGATATTGTGATGGAGTACCGCCAAAAATTCACTGCATTCGTTACCACAATATTGACCGAAAAGTTCATTGATATTCATCGATCCAGTGGCTGCTGATGGCGCCGTTGCTTCATCAAATCCCATCAAGCTTGATAATTGTTGATCAGATATTGGAACCTGAAAATTAGGACCACAATCTTGGCCGTTCATATTAAGACCATGGTCATGAACATGATGATGATCCAGGCCGTTTATATCATTGGTTAGGGCGGCGGATCTTGACGATGACTTTGACATGGATATTAGGCTTTCCCATGCGGATGCTTCTAGCATGTCAAGGCACTGTGGAACTATTGGTGGAGCAAGCTGATGATAATCATCGAAAAGCGACCCCGCCGGCGCAGATTCAGGCATACGTAGGTAGGATTCTTTGACGAACCTGGCTTCGGCTTGAAGCCTGGCACTTTCCCACTGAGCAATGTGGCTGAGATTTGACAACTTTTTTGGGTCGCCATTTGCAGAGGCAAGAATGGCAGCCTTGGACTTGTGGGTTACAGGGTCAAATCCCATCTTGGCCAACCTTTTCTTCAGATGTGCGTTCCAGTAGTTCTTGATCTCGTTGTCTGTTCTCTTTGGTAAGTGTGCAGCTATGGCCGACCACCTACAGATTACACATCGATATTTATATATTTACCATTAGCTCACATGGAAGTAAAATAGTATAAGAGTGAAATTATTCGAACATATAAAACTGACATACTTGCTCACACTCTCTAATACAATAGAAACACCTCACATACAATGAAAAGACTTACTTCCACTGGAGGACGCGGTTTTGTGTGTTTTAATGATATCACGATAGTCAAATGACCAAAACAAAAACAAAACTAACAAATTAAGTACTACAACAACATGCATGCATTCCCTAAATATTAGTGATGTCTTTTAATTACCTGTTGCCAAGAAGTGCATGGAGTTGAATGATGGTTTGGTCTTCGTGCAAACTGAAATTTCCCCTCTTAATATCAGGTCTGAGGTAGTTTCTCCACCTTAGCCTACAGCTCTTCCCGCATCTTTTTAGACCTGTATGCATATAAACAGAAGGCCAAGTTAATTAGGGTTGGTTATAATCAGCATATTAATTAACTACATGAAAGAAATGGAAGATAGCAAATTAGAACTTAACCCTTTACAGACTGTACAAACACAATAACCACAATCCCTAAACCCAACCCATAAGAACGTACCAGCTTTCTGGGGCAAGGAACTCCAGCTTCCATGGCCGTGTAGTTGAATGTAAGCTAAAAGCCTTTTGTCCTCTTCAGGAGTCCATGGACCTCTCTTTATGCCTGACTCCGGTGCATAGCCACTAGACTTTCCCATCTCTCTAGCTTGACGGATTAAGTATTTCTATCTTGGTGGAAATGGCGATGCTAATTAAAACAGAAAGGCAATGGGTGCCTAGTTAGCTAGCTGAGTTCTAATTATTACTTAAGGTGTTTGGACTTCAAAAGTGAAGGCATGCGCCTTAATGCCTCTAATGACAAGATCGATGAGGAGTAGTACGTAGCTAGAGACTAGAGTGGTAGCAGCCAGCAACTAGATTTCCTTTTCTGTAAGATTTTGTGTTGGGATTTTTGCTACGACCTAGAACCCCCACATTGCATTACTATTTATATTGGGGACAAATGGATTTTTATTAATTTTTTTATTAAATTTTTAGACAAAATGATCTCTGAAATTTGTATAATTTCTCATTTTGGTCCATGAGATTTGAAATCAATAGAAGTAGTCTCTGAGTTTATCCACCATCAATTATTTTGGTCATTCCATGAAAATTTTTCATTAAATAAGGCTAAAATG